CCATAGATGTGAGAGAGAAACCTTCATGTAGAGTGTGAGAGAGAAAAACTCGCATCCATAAATGTGAGAGAGAAACCCTCCCGCAGAGAGAAACCCTTCGATGGGTTAATTACTAGTGACATTGTTATGATGACATGAATGATAGGTAAATTACTTATTGATAATACCAACTGATGGTGGCTCAGTTGGTAAGATCTTTGACTTGTCGGAATGGAGACCTATGATCAAATCCAACTATCACTAGGGTTGGGGGTTAAGGGAGGAGGATGGACTACCCCTGTTGTGTAGCTAAAATTAATTATGAGGAAAAAGTGCATAAAATCTAAGCTATGAACCAAAAAAAAGGGAAAAATAAACAAAATGATGACCCATGCTTCTATTTTACCAAGCGATGCAAATCCATAGATATGCAAATGGACTTCTCTAGGAAGGAAATGGATGATATAAGAACTGAGAATTGCACTAAAGAAGGAAATAAAGTGATAAAAATTCAAGAGAGAATAGTAGAACTAACATGATAGCAACCGATAAAATCTTCTTCCTCTGAACGCTATGTGGGTGATGACGGAATATAGCCTAGATGATGATAAATTTTGCTAGATGCACATCATTTATCTATTGCTCAATATGAACTTCAAGCTTGCACCTAATACTCATTGGAAGGCTCTTCTTCATCTCAACATTCTTAGAAAGATCTCTTGTGTAGATTCTTGTGGTGTCCCTTAGGTTTGGATAGGACCTCTATTTGTAGAGAAGTTTGCTTTTATATAGCATTAAATCTTAATGGCTGAAATTGGGTGTTGGAAGTTCAATGGCTATAGTTAGTCTTTCTTAGGTTAGGAAAGGGGGTCTTAGAGGTTCACTTATAAGAAATGGACATGTGAAGTAATCTTAACTTGTTTTCACTTAGGAAAGAGATTGCAAGATAAGATAGAACACCTCATCAAAAGTATAAAAAGGATGAGACGTTCTAGTCCTATAGTATTAGTAGTAAGCATGCACATGCTTTGCACGTGGTAATTCCAAATGACGATAATGATAGTAATAATATATTCAAATTTTTTTATAAAATTTATGTATTTTTTTATTTTTCATTTTTATTATTAATCAAATTCAGATTGCAAAATCCAAATCTAATTACATAAACACCTCATCCAAATATGTGATAATTGGATCGAGTTGTGAAGTTTCAAATATCATTGATAGGCCTACCAGTTACTTTGCTAGACTCTTCTTTTTGTAGTGTTTTTTCTTTTTGGTGTATCTTTTTTCTTTTGTTCATTTATAAAAAAATTGTAAGATTTAAATAAAGGGAATTGAATGAGGTGAAAAGTCAATGTTTTAAAAACCGGCCCAGAAATGGAATCGTTTTGGCCACCGGTTTTCGGGTTAGCAGTTCGATCGTCTGGGTTAAACGGTTTGAACAGTTTGAATATGTTAACAGTGATATGCCATCTTACCCATTAGATTGGAATATTATGGTAAGATGCATATAAATATAAGAGAAAATAAAGATTGAATGATAGGTATTTGAGAAGTTGTTGGCTGAAACTGAAAGAGTTTAGAAGAGAGAAGAAGAAGAAGAAGAAGAAGAAGAAGAAGAAGAAGAAGAAGAAGGAAGAGGAGGAAGAGGAGGAAGAGGACTTGTAAGTTGCAACGGCGACGATGGCGGCGACTTACAGCGGCATAGTGATGATGATGGCAATAACAACGAAAATAGTGGCAACGATGGTAAAAAACTGGCGATGAAAGTTGATATGAGATTTCTCAGTCTCAGATCTCACACTCTCTCTCGTAGATCTGTCGTCTAGAGTTTAAATTTCTCTCCCAGATTTCTAAATGTGAGATCTCTCTCATCTCAGTAGATCTCAAATCTGAGAGAGCTTCTTCTCTTTTCATTTTGTTATGACAAGTTAATAAACTTCAAACCATCCTCTAGGTTGAACGGTTCAATGGTCAAATCGTCTGGGTCAACAGTTTATTGACTAATTCAACAATTTTTTACCAAATACTGGGTTTGGGTAAAACAAATCCAGTCGCCTGAACAATTTTTGGTCCGAACAGTCTGACCGTCCGGGTCAACAACGGTTCGAAAACATTGTGAAAAGTAGTAGTTCAATTTACAATTTAAACCTTACAATTAAATAGGGACTAAATTCAAAATTGAGTATTTTAGTCAAAAGAAAGTTCCACAATTTTATTCATAATTTTAACATTAGTGTAAATATAGAATTCTAGTTGTGTTCAATTTTTTCTATAATTTTTTTTATTTTTCTATGTAAGAATAATTCTAATATATCACACGTACTTTTTATTTAATATGATATTATACATGTGCGTGATATTATATTTTTATATTTTATTAATTTTTATTATTTATTTATGTCATTAAAGGTTAACACATTTAAACCAAAAGTTGAACTATTTATTATTAATTTTTATATTTCATTTTTGGTTAGTTCTAAATTATGTATTTCATTTTCATTATCAATAAAAATAATTCTTGTTTATTATACTTATTTTTTAACTTAATTTATAAAAATATCATAAATGTGTCTACTTTTTGTAATTTTCTATATTTGTTTATATTTAAAAAAAAAATACTTAACTATGACTCAGCTGGTTAATATGGTTTAGATTGTTGAATTGCTTAGCCACCACTGGATAAAAATTGGTTTTGTTTTTGAGTCAGTTTTAAAATACATGGGTTTACATTGTTAAAAATATTGACATAGATTTAATTAGTAGCATTTATTAGTGAAAAATAACTTCAAAATATATGAATTAATAAGAGAAAATTGGATTTAATACCTTAAGTAGTAATTAAAGTTACATTTTCAACACTTACAATTAGAAATGGATTAAATACAAAATTATAGGCATTTTAATAGCCATTAAAGCTATAATAAAATGACTTTTATACTCTTTCTCAAATAAAGAAGTAAAGGGTTTGCACGTGGGTATTCTAAATGATGATAATTATGATAATAATATATCCAAAATTTTCTATAAACTTTATGTATTTTTTAGTTTTTTATTATTAATCAGATGTAAATTGCAAAATTCAAATTGATTACATAAACACCTCATTCAAATATGTGATAATTGAATCAAATTGTGAAGTTTCAAGTATCATTAACAGGTTTACCTACTTGGCTAAACTCTTCTTTTTGTAGTCTTTTATCTTTTTGGTTTCTTTTTTTTTCTGTTGTTCATTTATCAAAAAAAATATAATACTTAAATAGATGGAATTGAGTGAGGTGAAAAGTAGTATTTCAATTTACAATTTAAACCTTACAATTAAATAAGGTTTAAATTAAAAAAATGAGTATTTTAGTTACTTTTTTAAAAACCAGACTAGAACGGACGATCAAACCATTTGGATTGGAAACCAATCAGGTCACTAATTCCATTTTGGCCCTAAATTGCTATTTTACAAACAAAAAAAAAACGTTGAAATGATCAAAGAACTACTAACTTGAACGATTTAACCATTAAGATGTTTGACTCAATTAACATTCTTGGGTTGCTTTTAAATTATTTCCAAAATTTTTATTTATTTTAAAATAAAAATTAGAAAATAAAAAATTGAAAAAAAGAAACTTTCATATCTAATAAACTTGTTCAATTATTCATAATGGCCAAAATTAGTTAGGGTTTTTAGGTTTTACATTTTGATTTTTTAGGGATTTAAAGCTATTGCAAAACCGCTACAAGCGTAGAATCATTGCAAATTAGGAATAAATGTTAGAAACACATGCATCTTTAATTTACATGCATGACGGGATGCTCTGTGGGCCTAATAAGGACTCGTTAGCTAAATAATGATGTCATTTATGCCACGTCAGTTAAAAGTGTCACAAAGGGAAATAACACGTGGATTATGAGGATCCTTAGACGAGAGGAAAGTTCGTCCCTGAAATATCTCATGAGACACGTGGCAAAACCTTAACAATGCTTATTGACAACTGACAACGAATCCAATATTCCCTTTCCTAGTGATAATCAAATGCTTTTTGACTCCTTTTTTTTGGAACCTTGGGATCTCTCCCCTAAATAGGGGTTTATCTCGTAATGAAATCATCATCTTATCATTCTCATTTGCCCTAACATTTAGCCTACTTCCTGCACCCGATCTTCATTTGTCCTTCAAGAAGACCCCATACATAGCCTCATCGCCACACTCACATTATTAAAATTTGAAATCTCAATCTGATATGAAATCCAAATTATGAGATTTGGGTCACATTTGGATTTAATCGGATTATACTTTTATTATTAATATATCTGAATTTGATCTTATTACTAAGATGGTATTTGGTTTTATGTTTGTTTATTCGAAAAATGGCAGTTAGTTCATCGTCATATAGACATTTAGTTTTATGCTTTTTTGTCTCAATTTGTGTGAGAATCAATCAAAAAACACCATTTTTGATCTTATTACTAAAATTTGAAATTTGAATTGACGTGAGATCCAAATTATTCAATTCGGATCAGATCGGTTCACAATTGAATTTAATCCCTTTCAATTTTTTTTTACCAAAATAAAAAATTAAATAATTTTAATTTTATATATATATTATTATATTACATATAATCGAGCTTGAATTTTATCGAATTGGATAGAGTCAAATCCGCATCCGACGGGATGCCGCCATGCCGGTTTTAAGTTTAAGTCAAAAAAATCCAATACAAAGCTGACAGCCGAGTTTAAATTGGCGCCCCACAAACATCTCAGCGTGCATTAAGAGCATCTTATCATGAAGATGTTTCCGATACAAAGCTGGGATGGGCCGTAGGGCGCGTGTGGAGCGCCGTACGAATTCTTGATATCTCTACTTTGGAGTGCAGTAATTGGATAGTTTAGTGTCGTCGCAAATTTCTCAAAAAAGCTGTGAAATCTGTCGAATCGGACGGCGAGGATCTAACACCCGTCAACTCACGACGATCGTGGGCGACGACCAAGAGAAAAAGAAATGATATAGTGCTACTTCAGCCGCCAAACCAAACTCCGACTATTTTTTTTTTTTCGTGAGTAGCAAATTCCCATTTCCTAGAGAGAGAGAGAGATCGCAAATTCGCAATCGCAGACACGCCCCACGCACATGTTCCCGATTGTGTCTTCGAATTCTCTCTCTCACCGAAAATTCTCCATCGTTTCAGCTTTTCAGGTCCCACGGACTATACTCTCTATTTTTCGTTCATTTAGGGTTATTATTTCTAGCTTTACTATAGTGAAATTCACGTAAACTGAGTCGAATCTGTGACTACTTGTAGATCGGGGAGGAAGATTGGTGTACGGAGTGGTTGGGGATTTAATTTTGGGTGGATTTTGGAGTGAAAGTGTGGTTTTCGTTTCAGATCTGTGAAGTTATAGCTTTGTTTTGAGGGTTTTTTTCTGGGAAGTCGAATTAAATGCAGAGGCAGACTAGGTATTTGGAGAGATCGAACACCATGACCAGGGAGAAACGCGGCTTAGACCCTAGTGAGGGTGAAGAAGGGCAGCCGGAGAAGAAGCGACCTGCTCTTGCTAGGTACTCGTTTTCTTCATTTTTGTGTTTGGCTTAGGATTCTAGTTTATGGTTTCTATGAACTATTTTAGCTCAATTGGAACTGTATTTGGTGAATGTTTGTCAGTTTTCTTATGGAAAGAGTTTTGCTCAAAAAACCAAAGTATGAGAACTTGCGGTTACCGAGAGAATACCTCTACTTAAGGAACCATTTGCTGATTTTAGTGGAACTGGATTATCTGTTGCTATCTTACCAAAATAAGAAAAGATTATCTGTTGCTAATATTTTGTCCTATTCTGAAAATAAAATTGTAATTACAAACGTAGGAGTGGTAGAATTCAAACTTAAAGTAATGGTTCTTTCATTTCTTTATTTTGTAAACGTGAAATGGTCAATCAAATTTAGGGTTCTTAGAACCGGCAAGGTTTTGGTTGTTTGAGTTGCATACGGAAGTCTCTTCAACTGCATCTGGTGCAATATGTTTCTTGTCATGTCTGAAATCCTCAGGTTTATTTATTGTTAGGATTCAATAAGTTTGGTTAAGTCTTGGTTTGCCCACCCCAACGACTTGTATCCTGTCTCATTTATTGAGCATGGTCCCACCATCAAATGAGTATTACCAAAAGATTAGCTATGGCAAAAATTAGGGTGAACAGAAGATTATAACCCTTAAATCACTTAATTTTTTGATCACTTAAATTAGATTATGGGGAATATTTTGTATTTAAAAGGCAGCTTCACTAATGATGCTTAAAAGTACATCTGGTTTAGTTGATTTTTCCACCAGTTGCTACAACCAATCCATGTACAACAGGCTACAAAACCCAATAAGATTAAGCAAGCACATGAGGAATCTGTGCATCTGATAACTATATGGACGATTAATCTGTGCATCAGATCCCTGATTGCCTTCTTGATTTTTGCATGACCATTGTTTTAGTTGGAAGTTGGAACTTGCAAGTTGTAACCCATTCATGAGTGGGTCCCAATTCCTGAAACATGACAGGTGGCTGATTACATGGCTAAAGCCCATCTGCATTTCTTATCTCAAGACCCTAGATGCTCCCTTCTAGTTCATTTAAAGTTTTTAAGCATACTTATATTGAGCAAGAATGCAGGATAACTTAACTCTGGGGTTATGGGAATGTCTGACTGAGAAGAGAGATAGTAAAGGTATTCAATTAGCCCAATCAAATTACTTAGCTGCTTCTTGCTCAACAGTTCAAGCTGGGTAATTTTTTCACTTGTGTTTCTTGTTGATCTTTTTAGCACACTTTACAGTTAAAACTGTTGGCTTCTTTTAAGCAGGACCTTTATTCTCTTTTTCTTTCCCCCTTTTTCTTTGGTCTTTTTTTTTTTTTCTGTTTAGCTTGAAGCTTTATTTTGGTTTACCCGCAGAGATTGTATACTAAAGATCCATTTTATTGAAAAATAACATTGACATGCAGTGTCATTGTCGAAGCTCTCAAGGTCGACAGCTTGCAGAAACTTTGTTCATCACTGGAGCCCATTCTTCGTAGAGTTGTAAGATCAATGGCCTTGTGCTAGCACTACTTTTTTTTGATGCCTAACTATTCTACTGATATGCTTGGGAAAAAGTTTGGTAGTCCTTGTGGTTATATTGTGTGCGTAAATATGTTAAATGCTCAATTAAAGCTTTCCTTTTATCGTTACCAAGGTCCAAATCATATGATTTAAATTTTTTTCATGCTACTCTAAGCACTGTATGTTAGACTATGGCATTGTTGAAGTCTGTGTAGCAAGGGAATAAGAGAAGGGTTTTAGAGTGACCTGTTGGGAGAAGAAATAGAATAACTCCCTCTCCCAGTCAGCCACTATAAATAGGTGTATCTATTATGGATGAAATGTCTGATCTGATCCTATGTAAGTTGGGACAGCATACATAACAATAGGGAAAGAATGTAATGGAGCAATTAAATGTCTTGGTTAACTTACAAAGTTGAAAAGGGGATTTGGGTACTGTTGAGATTGTGAACTCTAGTGATTATTTTTAGGGTAAATTTCTAAAACTACCCTTATGGTTTAGCTAATTGATTAAGTGTACCCTTATTGTTTGAAAATTGACTAACACTGCCCTTATTGTTTCTAACAATTGACTAACTCTACCCCTGTCGTTAGTATCCGTTAATGCTCCGTCACAATCTACGCACATGTGACCCCACATGACCTATACAATTTTTTTAAAACCCAATATTGCCCTTGTACCTTGAGTCCCCACTCTCTCTCTAATAATACCTCCCCGTCTGCCTCTATCTCTCTCTGGTCTCTCCTTCCATTCTCAACCTCTCGTCTCTCTCTCCCCTCCGCCCCTCTGTTTTCGTTGGAAAAGGGCTCATCGTTGCTGTTGAAGCGAGAAGGGGGTGCTGCTGGTTCACCACTGTGTGCAGCTGCGTCTTCACTCTTCGGTGTTCGAAGAGGCCGTTGGTTCGTCGCTGTGTGCAGCTGCCAGCCTTCACAGGGGCTTGCAAATTATCAATCATCATCAAATGAACTCGTCCGACCACCAATGATATTTCCTATACGTTAACGGCGGAACTGAGGAAGCCTCCTTTGGGACAGAAGAGAAGAAACCCGCAGTTTGTTCCAGTGGTTGTGGTCGTGGTGTTCCGAGTCTCTGGTTGTGTCCAGTAGACTCGGCCGGGCAGATGATGGAAGAGCTCCAACTCCAACTCCAACTCCGATTCCAACTTCAACTTCGTCGCTTGTGGATTCCATTGCCATTGAAATCAAGTAGCTCTGGCATCCGTTGAGTAAAAGAGAGAGTTATGATCCAATCTCGTCGTAGGTTAATTCAAGTGAACAAAGCGCAGACGAAGTTGAGGTTGAAGTTTCCAGAAAACTGTAGTTGAGTGACGAAGTTGAGTGAGAGAGATTGAATCGTAGCTTTGGCATCCATTGAAGACGGAAGTTGAAGTTGAATCTGCAACTGTACCCACCACACCACTCCCTCACCAATGGTGCCGTTGAAGACAGAAGTTGAAGTTGAATCTACATCCGTCCAAGGTCCCTCACTCTCTTTCCTTGCAACTCTACGTCGGCAGATCTAGAACAGGGTGATGAGTGGATCGAGAAGAAGCTCAGGAAGAGATCGATTGGTAGATCTAGAACAGGGTGGCGAGCGGATCGAGAAGAAGTTCAGGAAGAGATCGTAGAAGAGGGTGGAAGAGCATAACTTGTTGCCGAGGTGGAAGGAGATGGAGCGAGCCAGGGAGGAGTGGGAGAGGATAGTGGAATAGAGATAGTTGGCGAGTATGAAGCTGGTGAACGAAGTGCCTGAAGGGATGGGAGATCCATCATATGGATGGCCGAACCCTGTAGGAAGGTTGGGCGAAATTTCAAAAATTTTTTTACTCCCATCTGGGAATCCTATTCCCAATTTAGAAAATTGCATTTTCAAGGTTCGTTCTTGTAACCAAATCGGACCAAATCTGAAACCAAAATTAGGGAGGGATATACCTGATACGAAATCCACGCAAGAATGCTCCTACCAACGTAGGTGTTCACACCCAAAGAGTGTACCAAATCCTCCCTCCACTGAAGATGACACAGCTTAGGATGAGGTAGGATCAGCAGGTAGGTCTTCACCAAGAACTTGGGATTCTTCAGCAAGAATCGAATGAGATAGTGAGCACAACTTCTAAATCATTTCTTCTGGTAAGAAACAATATCAAGATCAAATCTTGATCAAATCCAAGAACTAGAGATCGAATAGGGTAGGGCGGCAAGAGCAGGAAGAAAAAGAACTGAAGGCAAGATTAGTTTAACTGAGTTGTCTTCTCTCTGTATTGAGTGAGTGTGTTTTTCAGGTCCGCCCTGCTCTCTTATTTATAGCCTTAAAGAGACAACTTCCTAATCTCATTAGGAGTTTCCTGATCCAAATCTTTATTTGGATCTGGACTCTTTAAGTGATAAAGATAATCCCTTATCATATCTGCAGATAAAGATCAACCTTCCTAATCAAAATAGGAGTTCCTTGATCCAAATCTTTATTTGGATCTGGACTCTTTAAGTGGATAAGAGTAACCCTATTATCCTTATCTGTTGATCCAAATCCTAGATCCGCCCCTATTTAATTAATCTAATTAACCCAGTCTGAAATGGGCTTTTAGGCCCATTAAGCTTTCAGGCTCACTTCCTCTTTAATGTTGGCTAGCTTGGCTCTCTTTGTATGGCGTGGGACCCTATCATTGATCTACACATCAACCACATGGGTTCAGCCTAGCATCTGTTACAAGGCATGGCCGAATTCACTATTGAATACAATGGGCCCAACATTTACACTAAATGGTCCTTGGGTCCAGCCATTTTATGAAGGCCCAAGGACTGTGGGTAGATGCAAGATTAGCCCATCAGGTATAACCCTCAATGGTCTTACACTTAACCTCTCAGCCCATAGTGAGAGGTGCAGTGTTGTACTCTCTACTCACATGGATCCCGGGAATTAAAACCTTTTGCAAACATTTTGAAACCATAATATATATGTATATCTCTATATAATTATATTTAACAAAAACAAATTTCAACGGTTGAAATCAACTACCGACAGTTTAGGTTTCCATTAGAGAGAGTGCATCCCCGATTATTCACTTTGTCTGACAAAGGGGCTGATCCTGTCACTATGATCACCCACTCAGATGAATTCTTGGACTGTCCCAACATACCCAGGTTTTGACTCCCAATCCAACGCCTAGTGCAGTATCATAATTGAGTCTAGGGGTCAGGTGTAACATTCCAGTTTTGTCCATCTATCTCCAAGGTCTAGGGCAATACTGGAATTTTGGTCCGGTTCAGGGTTTCAAGAAAACTCACATTGCATCTACCTCAGGTCTCACCCTGGCAGCTGAGACAAGCCACCCCAACCAACTTGGCAGTACACCAGTTTAAACTAACACAAGTCTATCCAACGGTTGTGAAGGTTCTAAACTAACATGAGTCTCATATGTGTCCAGTTTAAGGGTATTACACAGAAACACCACAATAACATGAATCATATATGTACTTTATTCATTTACAATAGATGTCATAACGTACATCACGCTGATTGGAGCTAAGGGCAACACTATCTAACAGCTCCCACTTGCAGTTAGGTCCAATCGGGTATCAGCCGGAGTCCCATACTTTCCACATGTTTCTCAAACACTTTTTGTGTTAATGGCTTAGTCAATGGGTCTGTTACATTTTCCGTTGATGCTACCTTCTAATTCATGAATGAATTTCTTCATCCATATGGCTTCCTTGGCAGCTTCACTTGCGTCAATGTACTCGGCCTCGGTTGTGGAATCTGCAGTGGACCCTTGTTTGCTGCTTTTCCAGCTAACTGCACAGGACCCCACTGTAAAGATGTATCCAGATGTAGACTTTCTATCATCTGGGTCTGATTGGAAATCGACATCGGTATATCCAAGGATCTGTAGTGAATTACCATCGAATACCAGACAAGACTCTTTTGTCCTTCGAAGGTATTTTAGTATGTTTTTCATAGCGGTCCAATGTTCTTGTCCTGGGTTAGATTGATATCTACTTACCACACTCACTACTTGAGCAATGTCTGGCCGAGTGCACAACATGGCATACATGATGCTCCCTACGGCAGAGGCATAGGGAACCTCATGCCCTTAATCTTCTCAGGTGTCTTGGAAGACATACCCTTGGAGAGAGTGACTCCATGCTTGAAAGGAACATTTCCTTTCTTGGAGTTCTCCATACTGTATCTCTTGACTATTTTGTCAATATAAGTAGATTGGGATAATCCTATTATCCTCTTCGATCTATCTCTATAGAATCGAAGTCCCAAGATATAAGAGGCTTCTCCAAGATCTTTTATGGAGAATTGCTGCGAAAGCCATACTTTCACCTTAGTCAACATTCCTACATCATTCCCAATGAGTAGAATGTCGTCTACATACAGAACCAAGAACGTAACCTTATCCCCACTGGTCTTCTTGTAAACACAGGGCTCATCTGGATTCTGCTCAAAGTCAAACTATTTGACAGTAGAGTCAAACCGGATGTTCCAGCTCCTAGAAGCTTGCTTAAGTCCATATATGGATCGATTAAGTTTACATACCATGTGTTCATGACCAGCAACTATAAAACCTTGCGGTTGCTGCATATAGATACCTTTAGTAAGATCTCCATTCAGGAACGTGGTTTTGACATCTATTTGCCAAATCTCGTAGTCATGGTATGCTGCTACAGCTAGTAGGATCCTAATGGATTTAAGCATAGCCACAGGCGAAAAAGTTTCCTCATAATCGATTCCTTCTTTCTGAGTGTACTCTTTCGCCACAAGACGAGACTTGTAGGTCTCAACCTTACCATCGGGGCCTTTCTTCCTCTTATAGATCCATTTGCAACCAATTGCTTTTACCCTAGGGGGCGGATTTACTAGAGTCCAGACTCCATTGGTCTGCATTGAGTGCATCTTAGCTCTCATGTCATCTACCCACTTCAAGGAATTTATGCCCAACATAGTTTCTGTATAAGTCACGAGATCCTCTTCA